GACTTGTGTTTGTCCCGTTTTATACGGAGTCCAACGCAGAAGGTAAGCAGGGCAGGAACGACAATGCAGCGAATGTGTTTTGAGATTGCGCCCGATGCGATATCGCTAGTTTCTCCGAAAATGTGAACAGTTATTTCAAAAACGAACGTTGGTTTCCATAACCGCGAACATGAGATTCAATATCCGCGAACAATGATCTCAATAAGTACAAGCACTAGTTTAAGTGTTTTTGGGCGATGCTGCAAGTCTACGCCATTTATTGAATGAGTGATATTCCCTCTAACCTGACCCCGTATATCACTGGTTTACGATATTTCTCGGTTCATCGCCAATACAAGTTTGAGACAAAACATGAAAACAAATACATGTTGGTGCACACTGGTTTCGATAGCGAACCTCAATGGCAACACGAATGAATTGGAACGTTGTCTATAGAATCACAATGAGTTGCACACGCGATATTATTTGCAAACGGCTTCCGAAGGGAGGGCCGGTAAACGCTACCCTACCCGACGGACTGACAACCAGCGTTGGGCCGAATCAAATTTTTGTTTCATGTGCATTGTCCTCCAATATTTCTTAGAATCACCGACATGTTTGCAAATTTGCGATTGGGATACGCACAGTTCCATGCGGACAGTGATTCGGATAAAAATGCCGATCAACCACGAAAATTCCCAGAGATTTTGCTCACTCACTCACCGAAAGTATTACTGGGACTACCGCATCTTCACTTACAAATCCAGCGCATTGTCGGTCGCAGTAATCAACAGTTACCACCAGGTTCGCAAACCTTGACCGCCCGCCCCCGTCCGCCCTTCCCGTGCCCTCCCCCCCCCGCTTTTCTTCTTCCTATCCCCGATTCGATCGTCATTGAAATGGTATGTGGCGCCACAAACGAAAATCGAATATATCATTTCGCACATGGATACATACGGCATTTACGCTTCAGCTGCAGAACGGGCCCATTTGTCAGGCGAAGGAGTTCGGTTTGTCATTGTATATGCACATCGAAGCAAAACTGAGTTTTACAAACAAGACTTGATGTGCATGAGGATTAACACGGGGACGACGACATTCATTACCGGGTACATCTCATACAACCACAATGTTGGATTCCATGTACCCGGTCTCCTTTGCAAATCTTGTGTTGGTAAATTCATGATTGTTGTGTTCAACGCCAGCATTAGGCACACGCGGCCAAGTGAAGGAAGATATTGTCGTAAGACCGTTTGGATGAGGACCAAACGAGATTAATCAGGTTAACCGGCAATTCATAGTTTTTAAATGCACTACGCTTTACTAGCACGCATTGCAAATAGTTTCTTTCATGGAAGCGTGTGCTTGACTATTAGGGGGATCTCATTAAATATATGGGTTGATCCTCTGCGAAGCTTCAAGGCGACAGCGAATCGCGCCATTACGAAGCCACCAGGAAGTAACGCTTATTGACTACTATGTGATGATCGCTATTAAATGTTCATCCACGCCTTCGATGCTCTACGATGAAATACGATGAAAAGTCCCACTTGCAAAGAGGAGGTAATACCAAGCCAGGTTTAGCTCCACACCGAAGAACAATTGTTGAATGAAAAACATGAGTCGCATAAACAAAACAAAGATCAGATGTTATACGCGTTTGCCTATAAATATTAAATTGGTATCTGTTCACCACAAAAGGCGGTACAGGTTTGTGGTATTGTATTGGGAGAAGTTTTATTAATTTAGCGTTCGGGTTCGATTAAGAAATTTTCAGGGGAAGCATTTACGGGGGCAAAAATTTTTACAATGCAGGTGGGCGGCCTAAATTTTCAGAAAGGCATGTTTCAGATGTCCCATGTCACCATTCATTGATCATGACGATAGTTCTTCCCTAATCAGAGCTTGCCTCTGTAGGGGTCCTAGCAGATTCAAATGGTTAGCTTAGGTTTACCGCCAATTTTCCCCGCACGCCCGGGTGCCCCGGGATGCCCGGGGGCCCGGGGGTGCCCAGGGGTGCCCGGATGCCGGGGCGTGCCCGGACTGCCCAAAGGTGCCCGGAGGTGCCCCGGGGTGCCCCGAGGTGCCCGGCAGTCCTTAGTTCTATAGCCCAATCGCTGTATAGCCCTCTAACCCTTAGCCTTTATATGCCTATAGCCCTATAGCCTTATTGTCTTGTAGCGTAGCAACCCCCATAGGCCTACAGCCTCAAAAGTATTATGATTAGGGTTTTTGCCGGTATCATTCGAGATGCCGCACGCCACACACATGTTGGAACACGACAAGGTTCGGAAAAAAAGGAATCGCTGGTTACATTTTCACCTCGCTTGCGGGTCGCAATCCAATCCAAACAATATTCGGGAAAATCACCTATGCTGGGCAGGAAACAAGTGGCACGTGTGCCATGGCTCTTGCACAAAAAGGAAGGGGGAGGAGGAGGACGTGGAGGAGGAGCGGGGGGGGAGAGGATGCCAGACATCGCAGACGGAGTGAACAAAACAGGGCCGCAAGAGGGGCTCCAGAGAGCGAGCGCGAGGAGACTCCAAGGGCCGTCCCCCGCAAGATGGCTTCAAAGACCTTTGACGGGTTCCCAGGAAGCCTCCAACTGACGCCCGAGAAGCCTACAGAGGGTTCCAAGGGGAGGCCTCCAGGGTCCAAGGAGGGCTGGAAGAAATTACTGAGCGGACTCAGCTACTGGGGGCTCGCGGTGCAAAGTGCGCGGCGGCCTTGTGTTGCGAACGCTTGTCCAAGGCAGTCGCTTTGCACGCAGAGTCTGTCGGGTGTATTCTCGGGGGCCGGCTATGCACCAGCATCATCATCATCGTTATTTCCATAATCGTCACCATCAGCACCATCATCATCACCATCACCATGACCATGACGATCACCATCACCATCACCATCACTACCACCATCATCATAATTATCCTCCTCCTTCTCCTCCTCATCATTATCATCATCAATCACCAGTCATCAAGCATATGCCACCCCTGCGCCATCCCTCCTCCTCCTCCTCCCCTCATTTTCCCTCCCCCCCCTCGGTCCCATCCTCTTTCTTCTCCTCCTCCTCCCCCTCCTCTTCCTCCTCCTTCTCCACCTCCTCCTCCGCCTCCCTCTCCTGCTCTCTTCTCCGCCCTCCTCTCCCTTCCTCCTCATAATCATCCCCCTCCTGCTCATCTTCCTCACTCCTCCTCCTCCTCCTCCTCCTCCTCCTCCGGCCCGTCCCTCCTCCCCCCACCCTCCTCCCTTCGCCCTCCTCCCTCGTGCCTCCTGCCTCCTCCCTCACCCCTCGTCCTTCCTCCTTCCTCCTTCCTCTCCGCCGCCATCCTGTATCTTCCCTCCTGCCTCTTCCTCCTCCTCCTCCTCCTCCTCCTCCTCCTCCTTCTCCTCCTGACTCACCAGAACGCATCGCCCAATTGTCGGCGGCTGCGGTGAGACTCCATCCAGGGGCCCCGTCCGCTTTAGCCGTTCCTCCTCCCTCCACTTCCCCGGTCCCTCTCCTCCTCCTCCTCCCCCTCCTTCTTCTCCCCCTCCTTTTTCCTATTCCTCTTCCTCCTCCTTCTCCTCCCGTTTCCCTCCGCCCTCGTCCTCATCCGTCTGGCCTCCTCCTTCCCCCCTCCTCCATCCTCCCTCCTCATTCTTCCCTTCCTCCCTCCTCCCTCCCTCGTCCCTCCTGTTCCTCCTGACTACAACGCATCGCCGAATTGTCGGCGCCAGCGAGGAGCGGGGAGGGGAGGACGGGCGGGCACCGCGCCGGTGCCGCGCCGAAATCCGAAGAGAATTCTGGTACAGCCCTGAGATGTAGAGGGTCTGTGCACTTGCTGATGCAAGCAGGAATGTAATTTCGTAATGTCCTGGATCCCCAGTTTCTTGTTGCTGCTGCAACCAGAATTGCAATTTCGTAATGACCCGGATCCCCGATGTCCTAAGCGTTTTGTGGCGCTCGTGTGTTACTTCGCGAGGGCGGAAAGAAGATGGGCGGGGCGGAAGGAAACCATACGGAGAAGGCCCCGCTGAGGCCGCGGGGAACACTGGGGGGAAGGGGCGAAAGGGGCGCACCGGGGCAGGAAAGACATTGGCCGGGCACTGGGGCCGCGGGGCACTGGACGGGCGCTGGAACCGTGGGGGCGCTGAGACGGTGTCCGGGAAGGGGCGGAGCAGGGAGGGGCTGCGGTGCCGAAATAAAGTGGGCGGGGCGGAGGGGGCGCTGGGCGAGCGCTGGAGCCGTGGGGGGCGCTGAGACGTGTGGGGGAGGGGGCGGAGGATGGGGGGGGTTAAGGGGCGGAGGGGGCACTGGGCGGGCGCTCGAGCCGCGGGGGGCGCTCAGACGGCGCGGGGGAGGCGGCGGAGCGGGGAGGGGGGGCGGTGCCGAAATAAAGTGGTCGGGCGGAGGGGGCACTGGGCGGGCGCTGGAGCCGCGGGGGGGCGCTGAGACGGCGCGGGGGAGGAGGCGGAGCGGGGGGGGGGTGCGGTGCCGAAATAAAGTGGTCGGGGCGGAGGGGGCACTGGGCGGGCGCTGGAGCCGCGGGGGGGCGCTGAGACGGCGCGGGGGAGGGGGCGGAGCGGGGGGGGGGTGCGGTGCCGAAATAAAGTGGTCGGGGCGGAGGGGGCACTGGGCGGGCGCTGGAGCCGCGGGGGGGCGATGAGACGGCGCGGGGGAGGGGCGGAGCGGGGGGGGGTGCGGTGCCGAAATTAAGTGGTCGAGGCGGAGGGGGCACTGGGCGGGCGCTGGAGCCGCGGGGGAGCGCTGAGACGGCGCGGGGGAGGGGGCGGAGCGGGGAGGGGGGGTGCTGGAAAATCCTCTGTTTCAGGTTCCGGAATCACCTGGAACCGTTCCGGGGTGATTCTGGAAACTTGACACTGACCGTTTCAGGTTCCGGAATCACCCTGGAACCGTTCCGGGGTGAAAACCCATCTGGGCACATTTTGAGCTCCTTACAGAAGCCCTTAGTGGCCTCCTTACAGAAGCCCTCTTAGTGGCCTCCTTTCAGAAGCCCTCACTGGCCTCCTTTCAGAAGCCCTCACTGGCCTACTTTCAGAAGCCCTCTTAGTGGCCTCCTTTCAGAAGCCCTCACTGGGCTCCTTACAGAAGCCCTCTTAGTGGCCTCCTTACAGAAGCCCTCACTGGGCTCCTTGCAGAAGCCCTCACTGGGCTCCTTGCAGAAGCCCTCACTGGGCTCCTTGCAGAAGCCCTCACTGGGCTCTTTGCAGAAGCCCTCACTGGGCTCCTTGCAGAAGCCCTCACTGGGCTCCTTGCAGAAGCCCTCACTGGGCTCCTTGCAGAAGCCCTCACTGGGCTCCTTGCAGAAGCCCTCACTGGGCTCCTTGCAGAAGCCTTCACTGGGCTCCTTGCAGAAGCCCTCACTGGACTCTTTACAGAAACTCTGATTGGGCTCCTCACAGAAGCCACCAAGAGAGCCGTTTTGCGTCGGGAGAGGGTTCCAGATGGATTTTCACCCTGGAACGGTTCCGGGGTGAAAATCCATCTGGAACCTCTCGACGCTGCGCGGGAGGGCCCAGCCGCGAAAAACAAGCTCCCCAATATGAAATTTCATTTGGAAAATTACCATTTTGGGAGCTCGGGCGCACCCCCCCCATCCCCGACAGAGCCGTTTTGCGTCGGGAGGGGGTTCCAGATGGGTTTTCACCCTGGAACGGTTCCGGGGTGAAAGTCCATCTGGGACCTCCCGACGCTGCGCGGCAGGGCCCAGCCGCGAAAAACGAGCTCCCCAATAAGAGATTTCATTTGGAAAATGGCCATTTTGGGAGCTCGGGCACGCCCCCCCCATCCCCGACAGAGCCCTTTTGCGTCGGGAGGGGGTTCCAGATGGATTTTCACCCTGGAACGGTTCCGGGGTGAAAATCCATCTGGGACCTCCCGACGCTGCGCGGCAGGGCCCAGCCGCGAAAAACGAGCTCCCCAATAAGAGATTTCATTTGGAAAATTGTTTTTTTGTGAGCTCGGGCACGCCCCCCCCCTCCCCGACAGAGCCCTTTTGCGTCGGGAGGGGGTTCCAGATGGATTTTCACCCTGGAACGGTTCCGGGGTGAAAATCCATCTGGGACCTCCCGACGCTGCGCGGCAGGGCCGAGCCGCGAAAAAGAAGCTCCCCAATAAGAGATTTCATTTGGAAAATGGCAATTTTGAAAGCTCGGGCACGCCTCACCCATCCCCGACAGAGTCCTTTTGCGTCGGGAGGGGGTTCCAGATGGATTTTCACCCTGGAACGGTTCCGGGGTGAAAATCCATCTGGGACCTCCCGACGCTGCGCGGCAGGGCCCAACCGCGAAAAACAAGCTCCCCAATAAGAGATTTCATTTGGAAAATGGCCATTTGGGGAGCTCGGGCACGCCTCACCCATCCCCGACAGAGCCCTTTTGCGTCGGGAGGGG